GTTAGATTAACCCCCAAAAGTGGAGTTACATTTTAACCCCAGAAATGGAGTTATTTGTAACCCCAAAAAACGGATTATTTTGAACCTTTTTTGCTAACCCCCGTTTCCGGAGTTATTTTAACTCCCTCAAAATAACAGTGTAGGGATTAGTATAACTTTTTATACTGAATCGAATGGTGGTATTTTCATCTACATAGCGTTTACTGATTCGTTAAATATGAACGAAACAAAAATATAGAACGTGCACGTTCTAAGTGTAATGGTACCAGCTCCGAAAAGAGTCAGAACCAGACACAGTACTAAAATTCGGTGCCCGCCTACAAATAAAACTTTCGGCGTTTCCGCCTGCATGTACAAGTAAAGTTATATTTAGCACGCTACACATTCTCCTGTCGGCCGCCAGTTGGTCCGTACGTTAGAATCAAAACTGCGTTTTAAAGCCTTCAAAATAAAATATTTTGGGCTCAAAATACTATCAAAATGATGAGAAAAGTGAGACAAATCCACTGGCATACGGCTGAAAACGAGAAAACCAACAATTCCGAAATTATCAAGGATCAAACGGACTGCATTTTTAATTAGTTTAATAATTTTGAGCGATTTGTAAACAATACAATTTCGCTTGTCTTTCAAAGGCCATAAATCGCTAGAATACTGTAGTTTAGTAATACATTTGACATCTGTGAGTATAATTTCTTACACTGAATCGAACGGTGGTATTGTTGTCCTTATTGGGCGCATAAAACCAGAGATAAGTCGCAGCAAAAAGTCAATCGAAAAAAGGAATTCGGAAAACGTGAAGGATTATTTTGAGCGGCTTTTGTCTTTCAAAAGCGACAAATAGGTAGAGTAGAAGTCAATTTTGAAATCAATTTTCCATCCGTAAACACAACTTTTCACGCTGATTCGAACAGTGGTATTTTTGTCCTTGTTTTACGCATAAAACCAGAGATAAAACTGAGCAAACAGTCGATCATCATGAGAGTACACGATTAATTAATAAATTCATAAATTCCGAGCGCGTGCAAGGAATTTTTTGTAGGCGATTAAGGAAACGTATTGATGCGAACAAACTAACAAACGGACAAACTAACAAACTAACAAACTAACTCACAGGCAGAATATAATGCGGTGCCAAAAATGGCACGGGCACCGCAATGCGAAATGGAGAGGAATATTCCTCTCCATTTCGCATTTCGAATAATGGACTCGGGATTCCTCTCCATTTCGCATTTCGAATAATAGACTCGGGATTACAAAATGCGATTGTAAACTCTCCATCTAGTATTGCTTTCTCGTCCTCTTCGTTTGACAGTGAAGTAACACGGCATCCACGCTTTCTTAGTTCACGGACGTGAGAGTCAATGAAAGAGTTCAATTTGCAAATGACTATTAAGATGGGTTTCTCCAGAAAATTGTGGCTTTTGCCAAGTCGTCGTGCTACTCTCGGTGTTAGAAGTTTGGAATATTAAACTCTTCCCATAACCGATAGCAAGATGCAAATACATCTTTAATGTGAATCAAATTGGACAAGGCGCGGTATTGATGCTCCGTTAAACTTTTAATTCAGGAAATTTATCAATCTATCTATTAATGCAGCCTATAAAACTGCTTCTTTCAACTTTTGTTCGTTTATTTAATAGTATAGACATTTCAAAATTCAAATGTTTCAATTCAATCAAAACACGAAACGCCTGCGAACAGGCTACGATGTTTACAATATCCAATCAGAACACGTAGTCTATCGAACCTATAGTCAGCAGCCAATCAACTCTTTGCTTCCATTTTTGAAAGTTATGTGTGGAATGTGAACCCGAAAACTACGCCAATTTCACCAGAGGGTTATTCAAAACAGGCGAAAATAAATACCCTCTGGTTCCAGGGTAGTCTCCAGGACGTTCTTGCGAGCAACTTGAAACAAGACTAACAGGTCATATTAGGCGACAAGCTTGTACTCAAGTACTCAACCATTCAAAACAGCATGTTTCCGCACGATTGATTTGCTTTAAATTAGAAATATATTTCCTTATTAAATATTGGAGTAGATGAAAAATATATAGCTGCACTTTTGATACCTAACCAGGCACGGTTGCCAGGGGCCGCGGAACCGGAAGGGGGGCAATGTGGGCATGTGCGACAGCCCTCCCCCCCCCCACACTTTTTTTTAAAGTTAAAAAAGTGCCCTTTCTCTGGGCTAATGTGCCCCATTTAAAAAATAAAAAAAGTATTTCTTGAATGAACGCCCTCTCTTGCTGGGAAGAAAGTGCCCTTTTTGCAGTAGTAAAGACTCGGTAAAGGCCATTTCCAACGTTTATAGAGACTCGTTTTATTTTGGTTGTTTTTTAGTTCATATTTTTTTATTATTTCATTTGGAAGAACTTTTAAAATTATATGTAAATCTCTTTACTGATTTTGCGTAACTTTATTATTTCTTGAGATATTTTGACAGAAAATATCACAAGATCAACGAGCATTCCGCCATCTTGGATTTTGCCGGAATGCATGTTACGTCACAAGCAGGGTCACGCAAGTGTTTTATCCAGAGAGCAATTGGTTATGAGCCCAAATAAGAAAGTGACTGAGAACTTTTCAAACAAGACTTACTGTTATTTGGTCATTTAATACCCTATTATCTTGGTTACTTTGCCTACATAGCTAGTTTCAATGCTTATTACCTTTTTACGCGTAATAAGAGCAAAATTGCATAACTAACGGTCTTAAAACAGGCATCATTTGATTTAGATGTAGTTTTATATGGCTAACCCTGCTTTTGACGTCACTGAAATCACCGATAATGACTAGAGATAAATGATGGGAATATATTATTTTAAAAGTTCTTTCAAATGAAATAAAAAATAATATATTGCCATATCCGCGCTTGAATTCTGTGATAGAAAGTCTATACTGATGAATGTTTATGTACTATTAGTAAAACACTCAATAATTCATAAGCTTTTTAGCAATTCATGTGAACCGTATGTCACGTGAAGTGGCTTTATATCTCATAAAACCCATCTTCATTAGTTTTCTTTATATAAAGTCCATCTAAATTAGTATTCTTTATATAAGGAATACTAAAGCCTGCATGGTTATATGGTCGTAACGGTCGTAAAGACTGAGTCAAGATCTTTTTCATCAGCCAAATACAGCATTTTAGAACTGGAAATACAAGGAGTGATTATAACTAGAGAATACTTATGATTTATATGTGGTTTACAGGTATAAACTATTATAAACTGGCCGTTGAGAAAGATTGTGACTCTATTTATACGACCATATGGAAACCGGGATTTGAACGATACGGCATCTATTGTACACTCCTAAGCGTGCTTGAAATAGTACATCAATACTGTACCCAAAATTTAACAAAATTAATCACTGTCGTCTTATGGAATTCGTCAATATCTGTGAACATTTTTAACATGCATTGAAATCAGTTTTTTTGTATATACTGTACAAATATATGAAAGTTAATCCTTAATTCTTTTGGTCACTTATCTGTGAACATTTTAAATTAACATGCATTGAAATCAGTTTTTTTGTATATACTGTACAAATATATGAAAGTTAATCCTTAATTCTTTTGGTCACTTATCTGTGAACATTTTTAATTAACATGCATTGAAATCAGTTTTTTTGTATATACTCTACGCAAATATATGAAAGTTAATCCTTTAAATGAAAGTGATGCTTTTCGTCCTCACAATAGCAATAGGACCACTTGGATGAGAACAGATTCTGGAGTAAAATCCGTCAATTCCCTTACAAAAGAACGTTTCGGTCTCCAGTTCACCTGCTTCAGTGTAGCACAGAAGGAAATAGGAATCTTTTTTCCTGACACGGGTTAAGACAATTATTTTACAAATGACATAATTAAATGCAAACCCATGGACCTCGTGACCTTCTGGTAGTTTTATTGTTGACTTCAGATTTCCTTCCTGGGAGTATATCTCCACAATCTGGAAACTGCCTGATGATACCATGATTTCATCCTGCCCACAAATACCTAAGCCGCGTAGATTACGTGAGCCTCTTTCAAACACGTGCTTTAATTTCCCGGTATTGTCTATGACAAACACCTGGGGATCATCGTGTTGGATCACCACAATATCATTGTTCTTGGTTACAGCGATCATCACACAATCAATTGCGTCCAAATATTCCAATCTGCGCGAGTCCTGCTTTACATTGTAGTTCTCGTCCAGTACATCCAACACGATACTTTCCACTTCGCCAATTTCCGTAGATGTTTTAAGCCGTCTCACCACGTAAACGTTGTTATTCTTATCAACAGCAAGTCCTCTAATATCTTGCGTGATAACTCTACCTTCACTGGGTTCAGGTAATTTAACCACCTTGCTTTTACCTGTCTTCGATATAATCTTGATGTTGTCAGGATTGTTTCTAACAATAACATCCCCATGGCCGTTTACAGCAGAATAAGCAGGCATTAATATATAGTCGCCATCAAGTATCAGTCTGTTGGGATGTTGGGTCAGTTCATCGCCCATAGACTTTCTTGTCGAAACCTCCCGCCAATGCAATATTGGGTTAAAATTACGTTCAGCAAGTTCAATTGTTGGCCAGGCGATTGCGGAAGTATACTTACTGCTGAATTTGGACACAAATTGGAATAAAGTATAATTGACCAACATAACAGACTTGACGCATTCTACTCGCTCTGCTTTATTCAATCTCGACATGAATCCACGATTGAGATACACGGAGAATATATCGGCAATTGCCTCAAGACCGTGCAATTCCACGATGTGATCGCATGTTCTGGTGATTCGAGGCATTCCAAAATCGTCGCAACAATATGTAGTTTTGCCGCCATCAGTCTGTCTTCGATACTCAAAGCGTGGTTAGAGAAAGCGATGGTTGCTCTCCTTCGTGCGTCTTCAAACCGCTTCTTTGCGTACTCAAACTGCCCGTCTGCTACAATATTTAACTTTTCCATCGCTTGAGAAAGTGCCAAGGCTTCGTTTAAGATCCCAGACTGAACACTGCTCGACATTGTTGATGTGGCTTGCTCGTCGGTGGTAGGTTTATCTACATCTTTCTGTTCGTCCATGGACTTATTAAGAGAAACATTCAGCAAATCGATACCTTGCTTCAGAAAACTGTAGCTGCTGAGCAAATCTTTACGTGACAGACCATCGAGTTTCGCCTTGACGTCGTTCAACTCTCTTACGACGAGCTCGCGAATCTTGGCATCAGTAACGTCGCCGTTCTTCAGTTTATCCGCAGCCGAGTCGCGCGCTTTATTCACGAGTAAACCCACTGTGGAACTTAGAATGTTTGTGACAATTGACGCCATACTGAACTGCTATACTCAAACAACAAAGCGATACTGAATTTAGACTAAATAGACAATATGCCCAAGCACATTCACTCACGAAATACAATCAACCTACTGCGAAATTTCCAAAATTCCAAGACCCAAGTATTATGACTATACAGGGTGTATCAAAAAAAGCGCAATCCTCGACTGAAATGTAAATTGCTAAACAAATAATAGACGAAAACGTTAAAGTTTACATTCATTTTAAAGCGTAGCCATTCAGCTTTCTAACAGTGGGTTGTTTCTTAAATTTGACTCATTGGTTCACGGGTAATAATACTTTACGTTATTGCGATTGGAGATTAAAAAAATTGAGATGGAATAACAAATCGTTCTCATGAAAATAACTGATTTTTTCATTAAAACAAAAAAATGTTGCATTTTATTAAATGGATTGTAACAATAACTATAATTACGGCTTTTCTTCCACTATTTTTAACTCAGTTTGAAACTTCAAATGCGATATAATTTTGGCTTGGACCATCTAAGCTGACTGACATCAACTTGCTATAATTTCTGTTTACATTACATCGCAATTCGATGACACTCTGGCTCAGACACCAGAATGTTTTGACGATTTTTAGCATTCGTTTAGGATTTTCAAACAACCTGGTCTCTTTTAAAATACTTTTAATTTGTTCTTACGTGGTTTTCCAGATGTAGTGACGACAACATTAAAGTTTAAAGAAGAAAATTCTAACATTTAAACCGACTAAACAATAACATAGTAAACTTGCATAATTAAACAGCAACTAAAAATGATAGGTTTTACTAAATCTTTTCCTGTGCAATTATTACTAGCATTGGAGACAAGGATAATAGTTTGTTTGAAAGAGAAAAGAACAGGCTTTGAAGTAAGCCTAAAAGCGTTTAACTAGAAATAGTATTTCGAAAGTTATTAAGCACAAAAGATGAATTGCGTTTATTTTGATACACCCTGTATAGTGTGTATGATGTAATATCTATGGTATGTTCCTTCCTGTCACTTGATACGAACTACTAAGTGTTTCTTTCATCACATTCTTTCAGTGTTTGAAAATTTGCATTGAATCTGAATATAGAGCGTTTGCACATGGTGTCACAGTCGAAATGTTGGTGTTCCAAACTTCCAATTCAAAAGAATTTTAATATTTTAGTACTGTATTAGTGTAAGATCTTCTTCGAAGAAACGCGTGTTGGTGCAGCCGGCAATTGCGAAATTTGTGAGCAGATGACAGATTAGCCTGTGCACATACAGGGTGTGTACAGGATGTGTACAGGCTAATGACAGATTAAGACCATGTAAATTTGGCCTGCGTGGCAGGCCCTCATTTTTATGGGGAGCCTGATTTGCAGCGGGCAGGATTTTTGCCGGGCAAAATCCTGCCCGCTGCAAATCAGGCCCCCCATAAAATTGAGGGCCTGTCACGCAGGCTAATGTAAATTACGCGCATCATTTGCGCATGTGCACAACTACGATAATCATGTATTTAGCAAGTCAAGAATTTCGTGTGACACGGGGTGTACTGCGCTCTAACCAACTGACCAGATGTCGAGCTCTAACCACAAGTTCATGTATGATGTACTGGGGAGTAGGGTACTGCCATGTATAAGGTTACGGGTAAATATCAAGATTTTGTTGGCATCTCAGATGGAAATTATCTGGAGGAAATAATAAATGTATTTAAAATACTCATTAATAATTCATAAAACTTGTGGCAAATCATGTCAGCCATAATATGTCACGTGGAGCGACTTTATATCTGATAAAGCATGTGGCATTATATAATTGTTCATCATCATTAGTAGTGATTATGTAATGGTTCATCCTAATTAGTATTCTTTTGTAGTCGAATTTTAAGCTATTCAAAACAATCGTTGTCGTGTTTTATGACTTTTATCAGACATAAAACGCTCGGCTGCGCCTCGCGTTTTATATCCGGTAAAATGTCGAGAATTTCGCCTCCGTTGAATAGTTTAGTATATTTTATTAGTTAATTTTAAACAAAACTACACAAAGTATATTTCACTAGCACTCGGGCTATATCACATTCTCACTAGCACTCGGGCTATATCACACACTTCTAAATTTTCTCAGTTCCCACGAGGCTGTGACGTCACACTAATCATTCCTAATATGTCTATAGTTCCCAGTCCCTGACACACTTCCCCATGTACATCCTCGGAGAGGTGTACATGCCAGTGCGAACAAAGTTCAAGATTGTTTCTTTAAACACTTTCGTGTTTTAAATAGTACATAAATCGCAGCTGTTCCTGTTTAGGTCTAATAAATGTAACAAGACCTTTATTAAGCCCCGTTTACACTAAGCTCAATTTTTGGTACGGCACGGAAAAAATTGGTACCCGTACCACTTTTTTGGTTCTTGGACTACCTATTTAGGTAGTCCAAGAACCAAAAAGTGGTACGGTACCAAAAATTGAGCGTAGTGTAAACGGGGCTTAGCTAAATAGGTAGTCCAAGAACCAAAAAAGTGGTACGGGTACCAATTTTATCCGTGCCGTACCAAAAATTGAGCGTAGTGTAAACGGGGCTTAAGTGTACCTTTTTGCTTAAATTAAGTACCATTTGAAAACTACTTGGGAAATCTATTAATATAAAACACCTTTACAATTACGAGCGCCATAGTCTTTTAAATTGAAGCCCTCATTTCGTGGGAGCAACGGTTCGATTTCGTGAATTGCGCGCGGGTGCTTCAAAGCGCGCCGTTTTGTGATCAAGTTGCCAGTCGGTAAATGAAGGGTTGGCGGAAGAATGGATGTCATTTTATTTGGTTGTTTCTTCGCGTTAGCTATTGTTGTTTTTCTATGTTTAGCTGTGCTGGGATTTGCCGTGTACCTGTTTTGCGAACATCGGCGTTTTGCCCATCTACCAGGACCAGAAAGGAGTAATTTTTGGCTAGGCAGTGCAAAAGATATCGCAACGTACCGCAAAGCGGGCAAGACATTCTACGACTATTTTCTAGCTCAAGCTATTCAACATGGCAACGTATTTGTCGTTTTTATATGCCACAAAGCGATCGTTTTTGTCTCAGAACCTTCGATAATCCGCAAGCTGCTGCTAAGACATCATTTGGTGCTGCCAAAAGACCCCAAAGTGTACCGAAAACTGGGTTTTGTTTGCGGACAACCGATAGCAGGGCACGGTCTGGTTACAAATACCGACGTTTATAATAATAATAAAAAGATTGATCTTTTTAGAAATTATCTTTCTGATCGTACTCAATTAACAGTTAACAACATACGGTCTGATACTCGTAAAGTACCGTGTGGTGTTCCTCAGGGGTCTGTTCTAGGTCCACTACGGTTCCTAATATACAGTATATAAACGACCTACCTAATCGTGAATTGGTATCAGATGGCCGTGATAAAAGCAATTTGACATTTCTGAACAACGACCCAGACAAGTTAATCTCTGTTCTAAATGATGATCTTAAAACTTTCCAAAACTGGCTTAACTTGAATAAACTAAGTCTAAATGCAATTAAAACTAAATTATGTTTATTGCATCCAGACAAAACTTAAGTACTATCCCAGAAGAACCTAATCTCGCTATTTCCGGTAATAAAATCGAAAGACTGTCAGGACTCACAAGTGTTTAGGTTTGGAACTGGACGAAAGCTTCACATGAGAGCCTCATGTTTCCGTCAATATAATCTCCAAATTCTCCAAGGTGATTGGAGTTCTACGAAGACTAAGGGCCTGTTCATATGGGCAAAAGTTATCCCGGTTAACGAGAAAACTTTTCGACTAGCCAAATACTTTTGTTCTGTTCATATGGAGAAATATTATCCCACTTACCGGGACGTAGCACTGAACATTAATTGAATTGAAAAGTTGCTGACACGACAAAAAGTTATCCCGCTAAGCGGGAAAGTTGTGTTCATATGGGGAAAACATTATCCCGGTCACCGAGAT